CACCACCACCACCACCACCACCGCCTCCTCTGTAGCTGACACTGACACCGCCGACTTCTCATGCCCACACTGTCCACGCACATTCACCTCACGCATCGGCCTGGTCGGTCACTTGCGAATCCATCGCACAGAGACTGGCGAACCAGTGCCTGGAGCACCCACCTATACCCATCAAGCTCGTCTCAACTGCCCACACTGTCCTCGCACTTTCAGGCATCGCATGAGCCTATTCGGCCACATGCGCATCCACGACGACCTGCGGTAGACAACCGACGGCCACACCACACATTCACTCACTCCCTACCTCCTCCACCACCACCATCACCCCACCAGAAATCAACACTCACACACCTCATGCACCCAACTGCCACCTCCCACGCAAGTGGGAAGTGTGCATCTCGACTCGGTCCCCATGCGGCTTCGGCTGCACGGGTGACTTGAGTCCGAGACTATCCCGACACGTCAAGCGTCGTGGATAGGAAGGTTGCTGATTGAGGCCCGCTCTCGGTTCACGCAGTTCGTCGCGTTGTGTGTGTGTGTGTGTGTTGTGTGTAGTGGCGGACTGGTGGGCTGGGGACGAGCTGAAACAGCACCTTTCACGGCCCTCTCACGCAAGTGAGAGACACGCCGTTCAACCCCCGTTGTGTGAAATCCTGGTGTTTGTGTGTGTATGGGGGGCCAGGTCGTGCTGTGGCGCGCGCAGACATGGTCAGTCGACCATGTCAGTCACCGCGCCCATTCCCCACTCCAGTCTTCTGACCGGCTCGGACAGCGGCTGGGGTGTGGGGATGGGAAGGGAGAGTGAGGTCGACGACTCAGCGCACTTCCTCCTCACTATAAACAATCTGACGCGCTTGAAGCTATCACGGTGCGCTAAAAGCCGTGGCTTGGAAGGTTGCCAACTGACGGGGTACCTTGGACCTCCTCCTTCACTGGAGGCGGTCTGAGAGTCAGGCTGCAATGGCTCCTTTTTAATGTGGCCTTTATGGCATTCCCACCACAGTGTGGGATCCGAGCCAGGCGTCGGCGGCACGCCTAGGTGCAGCTTCGGCCGTGCCAGCATCCAAATGTCTGTTGTGTTGGTTGAAATCCTGGTTATTGTTGTGTGGACCAGGGGGAGTGGTGGAACGCCTAGGTGAGGATCCGTCCGAGCCATCCACCTGCGGCCTCCCTCGTCTCCGGTCTTCTTGACTCTGTCTTGACACCGGGCCCAGGCGGGGGAGGAGGAGAGAGTGTAGGTAGATGCTACGCAAGTCTACTGGCACTATAAACCCCTGCGTAAGTCACCGTCCCTGCTCCCATTGCTGCTGCAACTGTGGGGCACACGGTGGACATCATCGAAACCGATGGTCGAACTGTCATATCGATTTTGAAAAAACCTCTAAATTTTGTGCGGGAAGGTAAAGGGGATTTTTATTTTCCAAAAAGACGTTTCGACTTGGCCTCAAAAAGGGATTCGTTAAATACACACGACCAAAACCCACCGATCTGCAGAATGTATGAATAAGTCATGCAGACGTTAAATGGGCATTGAAAAGAAGGTTCGGTTGTAGAGCTATACAGCTTTACCAGCCACAGTGCGCTCTACAAATTCGTAAAGAAATCGATTATTGATGGGTTATATATCGTGTCCCCCTGCTGAAGTCTCTGGGAAACTCTGAAATATTCAGGCGAGTTTACAGTGACTAATGAAAAATTCCAAATTACGTGACTTCAGCCTTCGATAAGCATGACCCTTGCAGGCTCTCCGATATTCTTAAATAGATTTTGTAAATTTTATATAAGCCCCGGTTAAGTAAAGGACAAACGAACAATTGAAATGGAAATAATCTAATGGTTATTTTGGCGGAATGTGTGCGAATTTGCACTGCTGTTATCTTATGAGGAGATTAATTTTTGAAAGACATTTTGGGGCTTGATACATGAGAGGGAAAGCTGTACATAAGGTAGACTTTTGTGCAGCGTAAATGAAAACAAGTCATGTGAGTTCTCTTTAAACTGTTGTGATTCGAAAAAAAATGTCATCTTAGGTCTTCAACCTTAGAGAAGGCGGTCTTGCTCTAAATACTCGGGGGCTGACTAAGGTTTTGGGTTAGTGTTTGATTTAGGTCAGAAGGTTTAGGGTTAGAGTACGGGGGTAGAGCTGGTTTTAGGTGTAGAGTCAGGAGGATTCTGGAATTAAGGCAGTCCCTTTGCTCACATTCTCCTATATTCTCTTCTCTGCTATCCGTTGCTAGTACGTAAACCCGAAAACGTACATATTCAAATTATAAAACTACTCAAAACTGCTCAATGAAGGATGAACACTGGAACAGGGCATTGTTACGGGTATGAAACAGCTCTGACAATATCAAGGAGTGTGATTGTCACATAACGCAAGATATTATAGACGACAATCCTTCAAAGACGATTACTGCTGATATGACGTCTCAGACAAAAATTTACGCTGTCAGTTCGTCAGAGAGCAGCATATCCAGCAAACGATCATAAACCAATGGTGAAAGCGAATGAAGAATCAGTCATTTCGCACGCCCTGAAGTTAATTTCCATCTATTTGGTTTTTTGTTACGGACTGCGTCCTCACCTTTGGGTGCCCGGCAACTAACTTCTGTAGGGTTACAGTCCCCGCATGCCATTGGCTGTGGTGAAGTTGTAAAGAAAACTGCTGCGTCGAAGCAACCAATAGATTAACTCATAGGAAGTTCAAGCACATTGATTGAGACGGCCCCATTTCTCAGGTGGGGATCCAGACCACTTTGGTTGGCAGACAATTTGGTTTCAGAGCGGTAGAAACCCAGGGCCGAGTTACTTACATGCGATCGGCGCAAGCGACAGCGTCCACGCCCTACTCAACAAAATGGAGTGATCACTGGGACTTGTGTCTGAATTAGTTTATAGGGGTACAGAATTACGCAGAATCTAGCCCACACTCTCCTCCCAAACCACCTTTCACTGATGATAAGACTATGTCTAGACGACCGAAGGTCGACGTGAGACCACCCGCGCATTCCATGCCAGGCTGCTTTCAAGGTTACTCGGGCCCCACATGACGGAGGAGGCTATGAAGGCTATATTAAGAGAGAGAGCCATTACAGCTTGTCTCTCAATCCACCAAACGATCTAAAGTGCCAAAAGCGGACCCAATTTCCCCATTACCAGACACCCTTTAAATCCACGTCCCATAGAGTGTTCGGATAGGTCCAATCGCAGATTTGCTATGAGGATGAATTTCCGAATGTCGGTCTCCCGCTCTCATTCACCTGTCAACTGTCCGAGTCCTGTCGAAAAAACTGGTGGTGAGATTGAATGCGCTGGTTGAGAGAGCCAAATGGATAATCTACGCGTACCACATAGTGGGCGCAGGTACTCGCACAACCAAGTGCTATGGTGAACGGGCTGCAACTAAAGCGGTTTTTCACCGTTGTATAAATGTTTCCCACCGGCTCATACAAAGGGTAGGCCGCTTTGGCCTGGAAATGATGTGCACATGGACGATCCATCCGAAGTCAACACTTTTCATCTACCTTAGATTCATAGTGGCGCGCACCACCTGCTAGATTAGCCAGGCTTCAGGCCAGCCTACTAAGCGTCGCACCTCACCAGGTTAGTATATTCAGCACGAATTTTTCATTTAAACTCTATTGTGGTTCCATTTGCAAGAATCTAAGTAACATCCTCTTGTCCGGCACAGGGAGAAAACCCCATTAATTCCCACTTTTATATACTTAAGAATTGGTTTTCTTTTGATACTAGACCCTATAAAACGTATATAACTGAGCTTTTTCCTAATGTTGCGTCGTGTTCCCGGTTCTGCAACCCGTTTCCACTGCAGGAAAAAACGCCAAATTTGCAGAGATGCTACGTTCATCGGAAAAATCATTTTGCTGATGTATATGGTAGAGGCGTGGACTTCTAAACCAACAGGTCGCGAGTTCGAGGCTCGGTTGTTCCACACTTCGGGCTTGGGTATGGCCGGCTGGCGACGGCTAATAAGCCAGAAATGGCCATTCCAGTCTCCCTTATCTTTGCCGGTAATACCATTCTGCTTATATATCATGCGCCGCTGTGCGGCTGCTGTTTGGGCTCAAGAGAGCCCTTAAGACACAACGGAACGATTGAGTTCCGTATGGACGATCGGTGAGCGTCCTCTACCATATGTATATATATATATAGACAGAATGGCATTACCGACAAAGACAAGGATGACTGGAATGGTCATTTCTGGATTATTAGCCGTCGTCAGCCAGCCATGCTCGAGAGAGAGTCCTTAAGACACAACGGAACGAGTGAGTTCCGTATGAACGATCGGTGAGCGCTCCCTACCATTGTATATTCCCGATCGAAAACCGACAGGGCAACGGGCTCGTGGCCCAGTGGGTAGAGGCGTGGACTTCTAAACCAACAGGTCGCGAGTTCGAGGCTCGGATGTTCCTTCTTCGTCTCCTTCGCCGACGCCTACTAAGAACCCTCATCAACGAATGCCATATTCGTCTGCGGAAATACGGCAAGGAAATCGAAAGGGCGAAAACAGCATGCTCATCATATCTGGAGACGAAAACACTGCGAAACCTGGAGAGCTGGATCTTGATTAAAGTGAACGAGGAGCGAAATAGGAAAAAGACCCAACTGTCGATGACCTACTGAAGAAAAGGTACG